CTATCTTTTCACTACTTTAAAATTTTTTATAGAAAAATATATATCACTTTTCTGTACCATCATTGTATTAGTTTGTCATAACCTATAGTGTTCTGTTTTCTGCTTATTTTAGAATTCTAGTCCTGTGTGCTCAACTCAACTGCTAATTCTTATGTTTCATTATATAATCCACATAAGCTAACATACTTCCCAAAGTAGATGTATTAGGTGTCATACAATTCTCTTGCTGGAACAATCCATTTATCCAAGTGTAGCTCATGACAGACATTAGACACATTTTACTGTTAGTTGTCTTGTTTTATATTCACCTGCAAATAGACCTTAAAAGCATCTTAGGTGGGTCTGGAATGGGGAGCCCAAGTACTTGTATTCTTTTTATTGAAGAATGTGGGAAGATTATTTTTTTTACTTACTATGTAAGTGAAAACCTGAAAACCAGCCAAGTTAATATTAGTGGTCAGTGGGGTGACAAATGTAGAACTAGATTTCCCTTGCTTCGATATCTGATTAAATCCTAATAATAAACTTGTTCATTTTATATTTTGTCTCGCAATTCTAAGAAGAAGAAATTGGGGCTCAAAAAACATACTTTGCTCAAGTACACACTACTAGTAAAGTCATGTTTCAAACCAGTGTCACTCTGACTTTGAATCCCATGTATGTTAGTTTCACAAAACCATGTTGATAGGTTATTAATGCTTGGGAGGATGAGCAAACCCTTTAACTGGAACTTGCAGGATGAAGATTTGTGGAGCTGAGTGTTTCAGGCAAAGGACGTAGCATATATAGTGAACGTTCAAAGGCTCAGATCCACAGAGCAGTTACATTCTCTTGAATTATGCATGCTTAGTTTGCATACATTACGGTTTCTGAACCTCTGCACTTTTGACACTGGGACTGGATGATTATTTGTTGTGGGAGGGTGTCCTGTTTATTTTAGGTTGTTTAGCAACATCCCTGGCCTCTACCCACTAGATGCTTGTAGCACTGCCACCACCAGTTGTGATAACCAAAAATGTCTTCAGAACATTGCCCATGTTCCCTGTAGGGCAAAATTCTCCAGGTTGAGAACTACTCATTTAAAGTTTTTATGTTAAGAGGTGTTAGGACAGGAAGCTCCATAAAAGAGACTGGAAGGAGCTGCTGAAGAGGTAGGAGAAAAATCAAGAGGTGTAATAGATATTAATGATAAGGGGGGGCAACAGTAACAATTGTTGATGAATATTCATGTAAGACAAGGACTCAACATTGGTTTTGGCTTCTGGTAGCATGTAGGTCTTCAGTAACTGTAATAAGAGCAGTTTTGATGGAATGGAAAAGGCAGACTCCAGTTTGCTGTAGGCTACTCAGAACTCAGGGAATCGGGGCATGAAAAGAGTAAAGCAATTCTCTTTTCTGAGCTCACAAAAACATATTACAATGGGAGACTCAAAGCTGCTCCTGATGCTTTGGCTGAGATGTAAATGGACTGTTACAAACAGGCATGACATATGAGGGTCTAGAAGTAATTCATCCACCACAGTCTTAACAGGAACCATGAAAGAACATTTTGTACAGGTTTCCTCGCATCACCTTCAAAAAGACTGTAGACACTTGTTAAAAATGATCAAAAGTGAAGAAAATAACTCCTACGGAGGAAAGCTAAGTTTTGTGAGTATTTTTAGCATAGAAATAGAAAACCTGTAGAATAACTTAATTACTGTTTTCAAGAATATAAGAGTTTGTGTAAAAGACATTTGTATCAGATATTTTCATGCTCACATAAGAGAAATGGACTTAAATAAAACAAGAAAGACATTCTGGAAATGGCTATCAAAAGAAGATTTGAGATTCATATTTTTCAAAAGATGGTGTCCATTATGTAATACAGGAAGTGTTCTATTAAAAAAGAAATTTACCGAGTAAAATGTATTTTCTTGATTTATTACTATTAACTTTCAGAATTCTGATTTACTTGCATTAACTTCCAAGAATCAGGTACAGTGCTTTGATTTATATATTGTGCACATTAATGAATCCTAAATTTTAAAGTTGTGATTTAGTATGTTAGTTTATAAATCTTAACTTTAAACTTCCAATATAGTGCTATGACTTATGGGCACCAAGTTTCATTCTATTTATGAATCATAATGTTAAAGTTCTGATTTAATACAGTAGTTACAGTAAGAAGCATTAGTACAATAAAATGTGGAATTCTTAAGAGACAAAGATAAAACCGATCAATATTTCTCTATGCAGCACACTGTACATAGATTCAGATACAGAGCCATACTTAGTGGTAGGTTTTGAATAGAATACTAAGATAAGGCTAGGAGAGAATACAATGAAATTTTAACAACTGTTTGAAGGAAGTGCCTTCCCTTTTTATAAGACCCTTCATGGTAAAAGTGAGCAGTTTTGAGCTCTTATACCTCTTCTAATTTTAATAAGTAGTCAACAAAACACATCCTCAATGCTGCCTAAGATCAATATCTTAGTAAGATGACCAAATTGTCTTAATTGGCATACCTATAGCTTTGGTTAATGTGCCTTACAGCAGCCTTGGAAATGATTCTCTGAAATTGTTCAGCCTGCAAACATAGTACTTAATCACAAGTTGTACATGAATACCACCACGAGCTTCTAATTTCATTTTCCATCCCGACTCTTCTTCCTCATCTTACCCGTCCTTTACTCATGCACTGTTCAATATGGTAGCCACTAGCGACATGTGACTATTGAGCACTTACAAGGTGGCTGGTCAGAGTTGACATGTGCTGTAAATAGAAATATATATTAGTTTAGAAAGAGGGGAAAATGCAAAATATTTCAATAACCATTTTTACATCAGTTACACATTGAAATTATAATATTTTGGGTATATTAGATTGAATAAAATGTATTATTAAAATTAACTTCACTATTTTAATTTTTTTACTTTTTTAATGTGGCTATTAAAATATTTTAAGATACCTATGTGGCTCACATTATATTTCTATTGAACAGCACTGTTGTAGTCCTTCCACTATTTTTCAGAATAGAAACACCTACAAGCTGTAACTCCTTCCAAGTATTTCACTCATGTCATCATGAACAGCATACTAATAGGCAAAAAGTTGGGCAACCAAGAATATATTTTTTTATGTTCGTTGCCCTTTACTTAGATCAACTTGACTCTCATTAGGAGAAATAAAATAATTTAGAGCCAAACATTTCTGTCGTCTATTATGCTTGGTTTTTCCTTCCTGGATAGGTTATAATTTCATTTAATCTTTCCAAGTAATCATTTATTGACTGCCTACTTTCACTTAAACTCTATGTGAAGTGCTTTCTCTAAATATTATTTCATTGAATCCTCATCACAGCTATAAAAATTGGATACTATCAATACACCGGTTCTCTTAACATGGACTCTGAGGCACAGATAAGTAATTAAACCGAGATCACACATTGGCAGAGTTAAAAGTCAAAGTTAGAATCTGTTTTCTCTACTTCATACGTTAAACAGCTGCTCAAGGCAGACATTTGGAATCTGCAGCTGTGAGCCATGCCCCAACTTGTTTGCTAAAAAGAGACATATAAAGCAGAAATGTCAGGATCTCAGCCCAAACCCCATACTTTACACTTTACATTCTTGCCTTTCTTTTTGACTAAAGCTATGTTAGGGAAACCAGCTAATGCAGCCTGAACTACTGCTAGATCTGTCAGACAAGCTAACTGGTCATGCTGAGCTCCCAGATTGTGGTTCTAAATAAATTTAGTGGAGCATGAGAAAGACGGTATTCTGAGGATATGATGGAACTATTCTGTTTCTGTTTTCCTAATAGAAATGGCCATTTGTGGCCTTGTGGGGCTTCCTTCTTAATTAGAGGAAACCTATCAGCTTAGATGATGTGAGTTTACCTAATCCTGCTTCACATGCTTCTGAAGAGGAGAGCAGGAGGTTGGTAGCTTCATACACTGGTGTGCCAGTTATCTTTTTCTAACCACAGTCATTCTGCCTTGCTTTACTACAAATCCAATAGCAAACCCTTACTTTGCTTTGAATGTTCCATTCTCCGGAGATAATGTGTAGAGTTCAGAGAAATTCACTGAAATAACAATAATAACAATGATAAACTTGAAATTGGAGGATAGAGGCAGTTTTGAATTGAAATTTGAGCCAGAGAATATCTTTTAAGCTTACCAATTGAGAAATTAGCATGCTGACATGGAGTGGCCATAATAACATCCAAGAAAACCAACCAGCGAAACTAATAAACAAAAATAGCTGTTATTGAAAACTAATACACTACATAATTAAAAAAGTGAAATTTAACAATTTGTTGCTTGAGATAAAATAACTTTTAAAATTCTCCTGACTAACAAAATAGAGAAAATGAACAGTATTGTTTCTTTTCTGTATATGTAAAAATGTAAAAAAGTCGTAGATGTAGTAGTCCATATTTTAAAAAAAAAAAAAAAGCTAAAGATGAGTGGTCAGCAAACTAGGACTCTACAGACATTTTACTATTTTCTGAGTTAACCTTCTTGAGACAGCAAATAAAAATTTGCTTGTCAAATGCAATGTAATTTTCTTTTGTTGCTAGCTAGTTCAAAAGCACGATGTAACAATGAGTTGAAGTGTTCTTTTCCGACATTGTCAAGGATCATTTCAGGACCAATAATTCCATCATCAATGAAAGCTTTAATTAAAGCAGGGAAAAATAAAAATGGCAATCAACAGCATCCTAAACTTCAGTTTTGTATGCATGTCCTATCAATTGACACACTTCTAAGAAAGATGCCTGGGACAAGAGCATCACTTTTTGAGGAAATGAATTCCAATGTTAATTTTATCTTTTAGAGAAAAAGCATGATAAAATACTGAGTACATATCATTTATTTTTATTCAAATTTCAAGCTCAAAAATGTTATATTTAAGGTATTCATTAGGATATCTTAGGTATACATCATTGTTATATACTGCAGAAAATAAACATTAAATTAAGTGGAGATAATAAATCGATACTGGGACTGAGGTGACACAGCAGGATCCAGAGATGCAGCCACAGTGGCAGCCTTGAACTCAGGTCCCAGCAGAGACCTGAGGATAGAGCCACACAGCGCTGCAGGCCCTTTACAGCTGCTCTTTTTGCCCTACACTTTCAACGGAGGTACTATATTGGCAATTGCTAGAGAAGATTTTTCAGTTGCTGCTTCTGACACTAAACTGAGTGAAGGGTTTTCAATTCATACCTGGGACATCCCTAAATATTACAAATTAACAAAGTCATTGGACGCAGCGGTTTTCATGGAAATTGTCTTACCCTGACAAAGATTATTGAAGTAACACTAATGCTACATAAGCATTTCAATAATAGGGCTATGACTATGAGGGCAATTGCTGCAATGATGTCTACAATCCTGTATTCAAAGCACTTCTTTTCATACTATGTTTACAACATCATTGGTGGATATGATGAAGAAGGGAAGAGAGCTGTCTATAGCTTTGACTCTGTGTGGTGCTACCAGAGAGACTCCATTAAGGCTGGAGGTTCAGCAAGTACCAAGATTCAGCCCCTGCTTGACAACCACGTTGGATTTAAGAACATGCAGAGTGGAGTTTGTCTCATGTCCTTGAGCAGAGCCATATGGTTGGTGAAAGACATCTTCATTTCTGCAGCTGAGAGAGACATGTCCACCAGCATGCACTCAGGATCTGCATTGTAAACAAAAAGGGTATCACGGAGGAGACTGTTCCCCTGAAGAAGGACTAATTTATGTGCTGTTACCATTAATCAGTTCAAATCTGGATAATTTTGTACTTTGGAACTGTCAGGCAAATTTGCCTTATTATAAAATAAAGCTAAACAAACAGGATACTGGACTGAGACTAGGTTTTTGTCATTTACACGTATGCTGATCATTTAAAATGTTAACATTTCATAATCTCACCAAAACTCACGCAGCTTCCAAATTATCACCATTTTTATTTGATGAAAAGTTATCACTTCAAATCTGCCAATTGTCTATGTTTCCCAGCTCTCACCTGAAAATTCAGCAGGATATTATGTTTTCTGGAGTGTCTTGGGCAGAAAATATGTAACAGATTGCATCATTGGTTAGAAAAATTTCTCTCTTCCTCCTCTTCATCATAAGAGTAGAATATTTCCCCACCCCATTGATGATGGGCTCACCATGTCTCTTACTTTGGCCAGTAGACTGATGGAATGTGTGTGTGGGGGGGCGGAAGGACAATGTACCAGTTTTAAATGGAAGTAGTTCTGATGAGAAGCTTATAAAGGCACTGCAAGTTTCTGCCAGCCCTTTTATGCTCTTTTATCTGCATGAGAACATTCCATTACAGATTGGAGGTGTCCCTTCAACCTGGATCCCAGAATGAGAAATCAGTTGAACCTGAAAGCTACCTGGAACACAGCCATTGTAGCTAACCCAAAGATCCATAATCAAGAAATAAAGATTTTTTGTGAACCAGTGAGATTTTGGAGTTGTTTATTATGCAGAATTATCATAGCAAAAGCTTTTACGGAATATAAAGAGATTGAGGGGTGTCGATCTATGGACAACCCTGGAATTCCCACAGTCAAATGAACAGTTACATAAGATTACTAGAGTTAGAACTTGAACTTCTCCCGTAAGTGATATTTTCTTCAGAAGCTGAGAAAAGTAAGAGTAGTTATATATGGTAAAAGAGAGGACAAAGACATTGCTATTTGTGTGGCTATATCCAAGTAATTAATAAAATGTCTGGGTACATAGATACCTCTGCCTATCTGGCTATCTTCCCTCTGTATGATTTCAAAGCCCATAAAACCAAATCACGAAGAAAGCAAACTATTTTAGGGATCTACGTGGTAACTTTCCCATTGTAATGCTGGCTGTTGGAAGACAGAGTATGTGAGTATCTTTATCAATGTAAGAACAAGTCAGTGCTGGAGGCACAGTAGTGCCTACAATTCTTACACATGACATCTACTCTTGACTCACAACCCCCGTGGATTTTCAGAGAGCAATTTGCATGTTAGGTCATGTCAAAATACATTCGGACAAGTAACTCCCATGGCATTACATGCCCTTGAATTTTTACTGAGGGTATTTATCAAGTTCTAAGGAAGTTGTTATAATTTAGGTTCAATTTCACTGACCTAAAAGTTACATGCTGAGGAGTTTTCTTGGCTCAGCCACAATCTTGATTAAAAACCTGGCTTAAGGATGCTTCTCTGTGCTTTAGTTGTGCTTACACGAAATTACTTATTTGAGACTATATTAACCAGCATGGTCAGGATTAAATTGTAAGTTATAGTTAAGGGTTCTGAAAATATAAAATAATATAAAAGTATATAGTGATGTCCTAATATTACAAAATGAATGTATTTTCTATTTATTCTAAAAAAAATACAATTGCAATATATTTGAAATAAATATTAATTTGCTTACTAGCAGTCATTGATTTCTCTTACATGTAATTGTTAAACTCCCCATGAGAACCAAAGCAAAACCTTTGATATTTTTGGAAATGCTTACAGTTTACTTATATGTGCTAGAGATTATACATGCTTTTAAACCAAATATTACCATTTTGTATCTTTGTAATTTTATGCTTTGAAATTATACACAGTCCACAGTTTGCCACAAAATGTTCTTAGCATCAACAACATAAAGTGAATCAAATTCTGGAGTTTTGGTTAAAAATAACATAAAGTAACTCTGGCTAGTATCACTAATAAAAGATAATTAATTAGAAAAATACCAGAAGAGATGGAAGATGGCGACGGGTCTGGAGCAGGAGTGCCAGAGGATAGAGCGAGCCTGAGAAGTGTGTGCTGTGCTACCAGAGTACTATTTGCATTTCCAAGAGCAACAAAAAACAAATAAATCACTGATCAACTAATCTACAATGAAAAGAATTAACTACAGTCTCGAGGTTTTAGGGCTGATGCAAAAGAAGATGCCTAAGAGCGCCCCAACCACGCCGGGAGACCGAGCAGCCCAAGGCAACAAAGGCCAGGAAAGATGGCAGTGGCGATGCAGAGACAGAGAGGAAGGCGCAGGACCAGCCCAGCTCTGGGAGCTTTGTGA